CGCAGCCTGGGGAGGCAGAGCGAGACTGTCTAAAAAGAAAAAAAAAAAGAAGCTGGATAGTTGCTCATAAAGTTATTATTAGATCACTCTTACAGCACCTTACTTTTATACCAGTTTATAACTATTCGGGTAAAAGAAACTCTTAAAATTCAATTCTTATAGCTTACTGAACTATATTTAGAGGGAAAACAAGCCTAACATTTGCTTAGGATTCTGCTTTTCAGCGCTTGAAGGAGGCAGCCTGTCATCACTTTAGGTTTTCTTTTCTGTTTTCTTCTTTCCTTCTCCCCTTGCCACTGCTCTTCATACTTTTGCTGCTACTCTGTAAACTTTTGACAAGAGGTTACTGGCAGGAAGCCAAGGAAATCAATCCAAAAAATGATTACAGATTATAACACTAGTGAAGCTGATATACAAAAGCCCACCAAATCAGTTGCATTTCTCACTATATATATACCTAGCGACATTTATCCTGAAAGTTTTATGAAAATTTTCCATTCATAATAAAAAAAGGAAATATATGTTAATTTTTAAATATGAGACTTAGGCAAAGGAAATTATAAACCATAAAAGAAACAGAGATTAAGACATAAAGGAGAAAATCTTTCTCTGAATAGACAAAATGAAATGTAATCAACAATTTTCCTATTAATAAATGCTAATGAAACTCCAAAGATAGCTCCTGTGAATATTGTATAGCTCTTAAGAAATTGTGAAATTCACCTTGAAAAATGAAAAAATACCAAAAATTGTTTTCAGCTGTGAAGGTACAGTCAGCCCTCCATATCCGTGGGTTCCCTATCTGTGGATCAGTCAGTTGTGGATCAAAAATATATTTTTTGAAATTGTACATGTGCAGACTTTTTTCTTGACATTACTCCCTAAACAATACAGTGTAACAGCTATTTACATAGCATTTATGCCATATTAGGTATTATAGGTAATCTAGAGATGATTTGTTTTATTTTTATTTATTTATTGTTTTGAGATGGAGTCTCGCTCTGTCGCCCAGACTGGAGCACAGTGGCGCGATCTCAGCTCACTGCAAGCTCCACTTCCCGGGTTCACGCCCTTCTGCTGCCTCAGCCTCCCGAGTAGCTGGGACTACAGGAGCCCACCACCACACCTGGCTAATTTTTTTGTATTTTTAGTAGAGATGGGGTTTCACCATGTTGGCCAGGATGGTCTTGATCTCCTGAACTCGTGATCCACCTGCCTTGGCCTTCCAAAGTGCTGGGATTACAGGCGTGAGCCACCGCACCCGGCCGGTAATCTGGAGGTGATTCAAAGCATATGGGAGGTTATTCATAGGTTTTATGCGGATATATATACCATTTTATATCAGGGACTTGAGCATCTTTAGATTTTGGTATCCTTGGGAGGTCTTGAAAACAATTGTTTACCAAGGGATGACTATACTTGGAATAGAACTGTCCAAACAAAATTTAAACTGTATTACAAAATAGTTGTCAAACAATGAGTAAAAATCAGAAATCATGTCCAGTTGAACAGAACATGAATACTCTTGAAGTAGATTCAACCTTATGTTTTTTATAACTTAATTATTATACAAATAGAAGTTAAAGAATTATAGGGGGAGGCCAGGCGCAGTGGCTTATGCCTGTAATCTCAGCACTTTAGGAGGCAGAGGTGTTCCTCATCTGAGGTTAGGAGTTCGAAACTACCCTGGCCAACATGGTGAAACCCTGTTTCTACTAAAAATACAAAAATTAGCCAGGTGTGGTGGTGCGTGCCTATAATCCCAGCTACTTGGGAGGCTGAGGCACAAGAATCACTTGAACATGGAGGCAGAGGTTGCAGTAAGCCAAGATCATGCCACTGCACTCCATCCTGGCTGACAGAATGAGACTTTGTCTCAAAAAAAAAAAAATTATGGGGAAAGACATTATTTGGACATTTAAATGTCTACATCCTGAGATTAATTTAGACCTGTGCATGTTATTGATCTCCATGTGGGTCTTTTAAAGAACAAAATTATGAAAATAAAAATGTAAGTTATTTAGAAGATATATTTCTAAGTGCAGAAATGAAGAGTATCATTGTGTATTGGATGTATAAATTCTAAATATGTAAAAATAAAATAATATTTCCTCATAAAATACTGTGGAAATTGAGAAAGTTAACTGATAAAAACTTGCTCTCAAAAATAGATTAAGAATCTCTATCAGTAACAACAGTGTCCATAGTATAAGTAATCCAAGTAGAATTTTATATAGGATCATTACATGAAAATACTTGTAACACTTATAATGTAAATGTAAATATGGTCATTCTGTAATAATGCAGCATGTGTTCCTAAAAATCACTAGTCTCTGCAAAATCACACAAGATAGCCAGGCACGGTGGCTCACACCTGTAATCCCAGCTTTGGGAGGTTGAGACAGGTGGATCGCTTGAGCCCAAGAGTTTGAGACCAGCCTGGGCAACATGGCAAAACTTTGTCTCAAAAAAAAAAAAAAAAAAAAAAAATTAGCCTGGCATGGTGGTGCATGCCTGTGGTCCCAGCTACTTAGGAGGCTAAGGTGGGAGGTTTGCGTGAGCCCAGGAGGCTGAGACTGCTGTAATCATGCCACTGCACTCCAGCCTGGGCAACAGAGTGAGACCCTGTTGATAAGGTTTGGCTCTGTGTCTCCACCCAAATCTCGCCTTGAATTGTAATAATCCTCGCATGTCAAGAGTGGGACGAGATGGAGATAATTGAATCATGGGGGTGCTTTCCCCCATGCTATTCTCATGATAGTGAGTTCTCACAAGATCTGATGGTGTTATAAGAGGCTTCTGCCTTCGCTCAGCACTTATTCTCTCTCCTGCCACCCTGTGAAGCGGTGCCTTCTTCTATGGTTATAAGTTTCCTGAGGCTTCCCCCCCCCAGCCATGTGGAACTATTAGTCAATTAAACCTTTTCTTTATAAATTACCCATTCTCAGGCAGTTGTTTATAGTAGTGTGAGAATGAACTAATACACCCGTTTCAAAAATACAAAAAAACCCACAATACTTATGAGAAAAAGGGAGGTTAGAAGCACAACACTTAAAAACGTTGTCAGTGACACATGAAAAAAAGATGGGAAACTAAAAACAGTAACACAGTTTTACACATGCTAAAATGGTTAAATACATAAATATTACATAAATACAGCACTTTACCTTGAAGAAAACCTAAAGTTTGCTTGTGGGGAAATAGGTCTCAGAAGGGTTACAGCTTGTGTGTTACTGCTACATGGTGGAAGGATGGAAAGTTGTCAGGCCAGATGGGTGTGATTCCTAACACACAGTGAACCAAGGTAGCTGGTAGATATTCAAGGAGTACATGTGGGTGTGGTTTTCTCTGTTCATAAAATTGTACTTAAGTGGATTGAAAATTTGTGATATGTTCAGGTTGTTACCTAATACATCAACCTCATTGAAACAAATTTGTGTTTTCAAAACAAGCATTATAGGATAACTGACTGTAATTGAACATAACTATTTAAAATCACTAGTTTTCAGGAAGTGTTTATAATCCTGGGGATGGAGGAGTAGAAAGCATAATTTGTAAAAGTTCCCAAGTTGATTCTTGAGAGACTGAATTGATTCTTGATAGGTTGTTTCATCTTATCATATTAAACTATGAAAATAAATTTGAACTACAATCTTACGTTGGCAGAGCTGTGGTGATATCAGTACTCATATATTTGAACATTTCCTCCTTTGCTAATTTTACTACAATTTTACCTCTCTAGTCTCTCCTAGTTTGTTTTCAAAGTGAGGAGTTAGTTTTTCATATATTAGCCATTACCATGAGTTAAGGAAGTTCTCAGCCATGTGAAACTTTCTGAAGCTTAGGAAACATAGGGCCAAACTATAGCTATCTTGCTTCCACCAAGAGAGAAAAGCCCCTAAAAAATAATGAATAGTTCTAAGAGACCACACGTCATATGATCATTTGTGATCATATGAGCTACATTTAGTTGACATTGCTTTATTGGTATGAAAAGTCAGAGAATAATAATTTTGTTGGCATTATAGTATGCTCACCCCAACAATCCAACAAAAAAGCACTCTATGTTGTTTTCATTTATTTTGAGACGAGTCTCACTCTGTCACGCAGGCTGGAGTGCAGTGGCACGATCTTGGCTTACTGCAACCTCCGCCTCATGGGTTCAAGTGATTCTCCTGCCTCAGCCTCCTGAGTAGCTGGGATTACAGGAATGCACCACCATGCCCGGCTAATTTTTGTATTTTTACTAGAGACAGGATTTCACCATGTTTGCCAGGCTGATTTCGAACCCCTGACCTCAGGTGATCCGCCTGCCTCAGCCTCCCAAAGTGCTAGGATTACAGGCGTGAGCTACCGTAATTGTTTTTAAAATCTTGCTTTAAGATTAGTCAAGGTATTTAAAATTTTTTCCATGTGTGAATTTTTTTTCTTGTATCCTTGTCCTATTTAGAGTAGATGTAAAAATTAATCTTGCACCATATTTGTGCAGTTAAAAAAATATATATTTTTTTTATTGACAGTCTCACTCTGTCGCCCAGGCTGGAGTGCAGTGGCACCATCTCAGCTCACAGCAACGACCACATCCCCAGTTCAAGGGATCCTTATGCCTCAGCCTCCCAGGTAGCTGGGATTACAGTCATGTGCCACCACACCTGGCTAATTTTTGTATAATATTTTTTAGTAGAGACAGGGTTTCGCCATGTTGGCCAGGTTGGTCTCCAACTCCTGGCAAGTGATCTGCCCACCTCGGCCTCCCAGAGTGCTGGGATTATAGGTGTGAGCCACCATGCCCAGCAATAAATATTTTAACACCACAGAAAATGTAAAATTTCTAAGAAAAAAATGCTGTGGTGGTAATGATCAGAATTTACTGGTGAAAATGTAAAACAAACAAACAAAAAAGAATTTACCAGTGAAAAGTAAGAGCTATGCAAGGTCAAGAAGTACATTCTTTAAGTATGACAAGAAATCATTGTTCTAATTGCACTACTATGTCTTAGTTCCCTGAAGTATTGTTAAAGTATTTGAGTGACTGGGAAATCTATACTGCTGTTTTTCCTTTTTTGTCAGTGAAAGATAAGGCAGAAATACTTCTTCAAGTTGATGAATCACAAAGTATCAAGAATGAGCTCACTATTCAGGTAAGGAACTGTGGAGCATACATGACTGGTTTTCTTAAGCTGTCTTTAGTCTTGAATTATTAAACTTGACTAAACAAATACAGCCCATCAGCACTGTAAGGAAGTAGTGTAAATTGTACTTTATTATTATGTAATAGCACATGAATGAAGATTCTGTTTACAACACTAAAGGAGGTAGGTATGTCCTTCCCACTGAAGAATGGGGGATGATGAGGTTGTATTTTAATGAACCATGAATTTAGAGACAGAAAGGACAGATAGAACTTACCCTGTATCTGGGCTTGATTTTTCTCCCCTTCACATCGTTATTGTCTTCTTCTCTCAGGACACTTTGCCCCATCTTTAATATAGAGCTGTGTACAATACCAAATGGAAATTATGGGGGGAGTTTCTCCTCTGTTACTCATCCATTTAGTTGTCAAAAACCTATTATTGTGAATATGTTAAGAATTAGAGTATTTGCCAAAAACCCCAAAATGTCTTTTTCTTATTGAATATTTGGTTACAGGTGACTTCACTTCATGCTGCATTAGAACAAGAAAGATCTAAAGTGAAAGTATTACAAGCAGAATTAGCCAAATACCAGGTATGCTTTTATATTTATAAGTGTTTTTATCACAAATAATACATTTGGAGTAGATACTGTATAGAATAAACGCAGTATTTTGTTCATAGGCCAAAATTTATTCACTAAATATATTGATAATTTTGTTATTGGTCATATAATTTACAATGTAGAAGATGTTAAAGTTATTCTGCACATTGGTATATACAGCAATAACTAGCATAATTCAGGAAAATCCTTGGGACTACATAGATGATACAGCATGCATGCCATTGAATCATACTGGGGAAAGGCACAAAAGGACAGTTGTCCTGTTTATAAGGTTGATCACTTGGGTACAGCGATATCTTCCAGATATCTCCATTGTAAATATATATTTTCCCTTTTATAATTAATATGTGAGGTGATACTTTGAGATTGTATGAATATCCTTTTCACCTAGTGGCTTTAGCATCCATTGATATTTGTGTCTTTTTTTTATGATTGCAAAATAGTGATTTTCTAATTCTGTCATTTCTTCTGCATTTACAAGCTAGCATTGAGCAGTTTGTTCCAGGATGAAGCAATTAAAAATACCAGTGCTTTTTGTGTGTGTGTGTGTGTGTGTGTCATATATATTTGTGTGTATATATATGTGTGCTTCTAAATCATAATATAAAATACATTAACTGGAATCATAGCCAAAAAAGCTCAAAAGCCACTGATGGTGTGGAGAACATAGCAGTTGATTAGCCCTGGCGTTAAAATTGAATCAGTCCCAGAAGGAGAATTCCCTTTACCTGGGAGACCTTGACAAGGATTCTTGTGTGTTTGCTGTTTTGGATTTTTAAGAAATCTCATCGAGAAGCATGGTAGGAGTTTTATGTATAGTGGGTATCTACTTCAAAAAATATTTTTGCTAAATTTATTTTCATTTTTCTGCTAACAGGAAATAAATCTTGTTTTTGATACTTGTCATTACACATCTCATGTTCCAAAAAACCTATTCATACTGTTTTTCTCTGAATAAAATCTTTGCAAAATTTTTATGTGGTCATGAGTGAATGACAGCATTCTTATGCTCGAGTATTGTTTCATTTTGTTTTATAATGTTGATGTAGAAATAGTTATAATCAGAAAAAGAATGAAAGAAACAAAGAGAAACTGCCATCATTATCAAATGAGCCTGGGCTCCATATGCCCCTGATACAACCACCTCTCTTTCAGAGATGCACTTCCACAGAAAAAATAGTTCCCGAACTTGGCTGATCATTGGGATCACTTGGAAACTTTGAATTAAAGATTGTTAGCCAATTAAATAGGTGTGGGACAAAGCCTAGATGTCAGAATTCTAAAAATATTACTGCTTAGGTAATTCTGATGATCAACTAAGTTTGGATACCATTGCCATAGTTTATAAAAATGGGAAAAACTGTACATACAACTATGATAAGGTAAATACATCAAACCATTATTTATGGTTAAATTGAAGGGGGTAGAGTAGCTATTGATGATTTTAATTTTATTCTTTGCATGTTTGTACTTTGCATATTCCTACAATGAGCATTTGCTTTTTAAATCAGAATAAAACAGAAAATACTATGTTTATGTTATGTTAAAATATTTATGTAAAACTCTTCTTGTCCTTTATGCTGCCTTTCCTTTTCCTTGGCTCAAGTCAGATACTATAAGTGATGTTTCATATGGAGCAAATTAAATATAAATTTATATATGCAACTGAGCAATATGAAAACCATAACCTAGATTTCAATCCACTAATGAACACAATCAAATTTCTAATGCTAATATGAGCAAAACTCAACAGAACTTGAACTATAAGTTGAATTACCCAAAAGGTAATGAACTGAATTACTAAATTTACTGATCATATGGAACAAATTAAGTGTATCATTTATTTTAGTATTGATCAAAAACTTTAATTCTGGAATAGTCAAAATGAGTTCTAAAAAAATAAAATATCGGTGACCTTACTAAGGCACAACTCTTATTCAAATAGAAGTAACTTTTCTAAAACCGACTTTAACCATTTATAAAAAATAACCATATTAAAATAATGTAGCGGTATGTAGACTCAAATTTACAACAAAATCAAAAAAGAAATTGCTTCCTTCTCATACCCCAAGATGCCTTTGGTCTATATTTTTAAAATGAAGTGGCCCCAAAATGGTATGTCGTAAATAATTTGTCCTATTTTTTTTTTTTTTTTACAGGGTGGCAGAAAAGGGAAAAGAAACTCTGAATCCGACCAGTGTAGGTGATTAAATTAGCCTTTGAAGTCAACACAAAGTTTAAAACTTTCAGGATTTTGCAAAATTGTATATATTTAATGCCGTGCAACTGCTAAACTATGCAGTTTTTGTTGAAGGAACTAAAAGCAACTAGCTCACTAATGGTCTATAATTTTATTTCTTTTGGCTTAAAGTGAAAAAGAAGAAATAGAGAATTCCAGCAGAATTCAGTGGTTATTGTTTACTATCCATACTTCTTATCACTTTAGTTTTTCATCAGTCAATAAAATTAATTTACTCTTCCACTAATACGTTTGATTTGTTAAGTTTCAGAAACATGAAAGTATTTTTGCTTACAGCATAGCCAGTCAGTTGGGTCCTTTCAGTTTAGTGAATATTTTCTCAGCACTTTCTGCACACTAAACCCTACAGGACATGCAAGAGGAAATATGGCTGATACCCTCAAGTAGCTTATGCTTAGGGGAAATAGAAGGTGGGAGTGGGTAGGCCAGGTGCGGTGGCTAACATCTGTAATCCCAGCGCTTTGGGAGGCCTTGGTGGGCAGATCACTTGAGGCCAGGAGTTTTAGGCCAGCCTGGCCAACATGGTGAAACCCCATCTCTACTAAAAATATAAAAATTAACCAGGCATGGTGGTGCACGCCTGTAATCCCAGCTACTCGGGAGGCTGAGGCAGGAGAATTGCTTGAACCTGGGAGGCGGAGGTTATAGTGAGCTGGGCGACACAGAGAGGATCTGTCTCAAAAAAAAAAAAGGTGGGGGTGGGTAAAACAAGAGCAAAAAATAATTACTATAGATACTAGAGTATGAAATCACATTGTTTGGAGATTGAAAAAACTTGCATGAAATAACTTTTAGAGGGTAGATATTTTTTCTGTAAATTTATTGACAGGCATTCCAGACAGGCAGAATGAAAAACAGTCTGTGGGCTGGGAATGGTGGCTCATGTCTGTAATCCCAGCACTTCAGGAGGCAGAGGTAGGAGGATCTCTTGAGCCCAGGAGTTCAAGACAAGCCTGGGCAACATGGTAAGACCCTGTCTCTAAAAACAAAATTAGCCAGGCATGGTGGCACATGCCTGTAGCCCCAGCTATGCACAGGAGGCGCAGGTGAGAGCATCACTTGAGTCTGGGAGGTCAAGGCTGCAGTAAGCTGTGATCTTACCACTGAACCCTGGATGACAAAGAAAGAAAAAAGAATTAGGGCCGGTTGCGGTGACTCACACCTGTAATCCCATCACTTTGGGAGGCTGAGGCAGATGGATTGTTTGAGCCCGGGAGTTCATAACCAGCCTGGGCAACATGGCGAAACCCTGTCTCTATAAAACTAATAATAATAATGTCTGTGAATGCCTTCACCATAAGATAAGGGCTAAGCCAAGGTTGTCTAATCTCCACACTTCCCCCATGTCAGTATCGTATAGGTGATCCTACCTCATGCAGTAGAGCAAGAAAAAAAAAGGTATACAGATTGCAAACAAACAAACAAAAAATTTGGCTTGAGAACAATAACATGCCTCACTGGGAATAGAAAGAGTATTGGTAGCTGAGTTTGGTGGCTCATGCCTGTAATCCCAACACTTTAGGAAGCTGAGGTGGAAGGATCACTTGAGCCCAGAAGTTCAAGACCGGTCTGGGCAACATAGTGAGAACCCATTCCTACAAAGAATTTTTAAATAATCAGCCAGGTGTGGTGGCACGTGCCTGTCATCCTAGCTACTTTGGAGGCTGACGTGGGGAGGACTGCTGGTCAGCCTGGAAGGTTGGCAGCGCTGCAGTGAGCCGTGATTGCAACACGTGCTACTTCAGCGCGTGGACAACATGAGCAAGAGACTGCTCTCTCAAAAAAAAAAAAAAAAAAAAAAAAGTGGAGCGCATTGGTGGTAGGAGGAATAAATGAGAGATTTCGTTCACTGGTCTAATTGCTGTAATAATGTAGTTGTAGTGGGGATCAACTGTTTTTAGTACGAGCAGCGACAGAATAACAAGTTATGATTCATTAGACAATACAAGATTTTTAGGCCAGGCACATGGTCGTACCTGTAGATCCCACGGCACGTTGTTGAGGCTGACAGTGGATCATTGCTGAGCAGGAGTTCCAGACCAGCCGCTGGCAACATGGAAGATCCTGTGCTCTGCCTATAAATACAAAGAATTGTAGGCCAGTTTGTGAGTGGGTGCATGCCGTATCAGTTCCCAGCTACTGGGACTGAGGCACAAGAATCGGTTGAACCCCAGAGGTGGAGGTTGCAGTGAGCTGAGATCACGCTGCTGCATGCCAGCCTGGGCAGCAGGGCAAGACTCTGTCTCAAAAAAATAAAAATAAAGTACAGTTTTGTGTGTGTGATAACAAAGATGAACACATAAATGCTAGTCTTCAATTGAACAGAATGGGTAACCCAGAAATAATGCCGCACCACCTCCAACTATCTAATATTTAACAAACCTGACAAAAATAAGCAATGGGAGAAGGATTCCCTATTTAATAAATAGTGCTGGGATAACTGGCTAACCATATGCAGAAAACAGAAACTGGTCCCCTTCCTTATACAATATACAAAAA